TATATATATATTCAAATTCCAATAGGAGCGTGCAACTAGGTTTCATACAACAGTGAATAGGTGCACTTTTGTTGAGCAGTGTAAATGATGCTCGTCATGCTGTATGCGTAAACAAACCGAGGCAAAGTAGCATGGTGGAGGGTATGCCGCAACACAGCCTGCAGCCGCAATGAACAGCACCAAGTGAGGAGATGATAACATGACCCATTGACTCATTTTACGAATCTCTAGTTCAATGTTAGGCTGCGTGACCCAACGCATCGATACTTCCATGAGCCACAAGTTAGAAATCCGTTTCGCAAGACCCAAAAACAGACGGAGGCTTGCATCCATCCGTACTACAGCCTAAGAGATTACCAAGGTCAAACTGATGCTAAACTACAAATACATTCAAAATAAATGTCTGCTCTTGAGGTGATTTCACGTACTTTTTCTATCTGGAATCCAGGTGCCAGGGTGTCCGAGGAACTCAATTGGACCAATTCTGTGTAGGTGAGAGGCGGATCTCTCAGTTTAGCAATACTAGACTTCTCTAGTGATCCAGTAAGACGGGGCCAAATATGTGGACGGAGTGAGTGTGGAATGCCTAACTGTTCGCCCGGCTTCGTAGTAGCCAACACATCAATAGCCTGGCCGCGAATCAGAGCCGTAAGACGCGGCGAGGGGACAAGACGAGGATGCACACGTGACCATAGATGATCAGCTTCTTCGTCTATCGTTGCTGAGTCTCCAAATGCGTACTGGCTGTCGTACTCATCCAGACTGGAGACCCCAAGTGTGTGGGTGTGTGAAAATTCCAAGCACGTGATCCAAGCGCGTCGATTGGCAGATGACTCGGTAAAAGGGACTGGGGGAGGATCAACTGTAAAAAGGTACGAGAACAGCAGGTGACGATTGATAAGATATCAAGTAGAGAACAAATATACTAGAGCTGATAACATTAACGACCATCTAATGTCAACAAAGATGTGGCACTGATACCTTCAATAAATTTACACGAAATTCGGTGTGAGTAGATGACAAACTGCTGTTGATTTGTTTGACTGATGTTGAAGCATTTGTAAACAAACTGGCCGGTTCAATGGACAAATTAACGGTCGTTATCACAATTTGGACTACTGATATTCCTGTCAATTACAGAGATGAAAACGTTAACACCATTGACAAACAGAGGACAGCACCGCATCATCAAGAACAGTTCCACATTCGCAAAAAACTTGCTCACACCACCAACGAAAGTTGTGGTTTAGGAAACGCGCCTACGATCATTGTGACCTAATAAAATCGAACAGGACAAAATCACCAAGTAGGTTTCTTGTGATAAGAACAAATTTGCAGATTGCCTAGAATGCCTCGGCGATGATATGGAAGTGCAGTGTGCTATGAACCCATAATGCACAGTGTTATAAATATCGCTATAAAAGGTGTCTGTTTTTTGGCAGAATGGGCCGAAGCGGATGCAATAAGTTCACGATACGTATAAACCCGGGAAGATAAGTGAATACCGTACACATGTCCCTCCCAAAGAGAGACCATCTTTGAGAGTCTTCATGACCCCAAGCAACAAAAGAACAGTCCAACCAAGGATCTCAGTTCGCGCCTTCACCACTGAGTTATATCGAGCTTGAGGAGGTTGATTGTTAAATCTTATCCTGTATGCTGAAGCTTGCTCTAACTTGAAGATGTAGGACACGGAGACGAGGTACGGGATACCTGATGAGGTTTTGGGAGTACTGATTCGGGTCACCTGCGAGCATAAGATGAGCGATAGCCCCAACTATCAATGTTCACAGTCAACGCCGCCGTTACATCAACACAACTGTCCTTATTCAGTATTAAGCACGTATATTTTTGGCTCATTATACGGACCTTAATTGATCCTCCTGCGCTGTCAGCACCGAAATGCTGCAGTAAGCCAAACCAAGTACGATTGTCCCTAATTTATGGTTGAAAACTAGAGTGAACTAAGTGTCTGATTGGTTAACATGATAACACTCTGAAACATGTTAAGGCTGAAATACGAACGCGAGGTACTGGAGGTAAGAATAGGAGACACACATCCCCCCACTTATCAAGTGCCAGACGACCACTCAGAATAGTGTATGTAGTCTTTCTAAAAGAACTGGTGTTGTCTCTATGCAATATGTTCCCCGTAATATGGCGGAAATCTGAGAAAAGCTGTTGAAATCGTTCAGCTAGGTAGCAGAAGCTACCGGGGCGGTTACTGTTGGTTATCCCACCCGAGTAGATTCTTTGAGGAAACATATCGTGATCCTCGAAAGTAGTTTCTCAAAAAGGAACGAAACACTGGAGTTAGGGGTTTCTTTTGCACTAAACAAAACCGTTATGTGCCATAACGGATTGTCAAAAAGGATGAGAAACGGTGTGCCCCAGTGTTTAGCTTACCGAAATCAGGGGTGGAAAAACCGAACTCATTAAAACGGCGTTTCGTTCCTGTGTCTGATCGGTTTGCCACATTTTCCTCCTCCTCTTGCGGGACGTCTTTGTTGAAGTAGGAAAAGGATGGCCGCAGAGATGGTATCAATGCAGAGAAAGGAACGACCTGAGTAACTTCAAACGGACCATTGGATTTGATATTTTCAATGGACCTTGCCGTCCCAATATCCTCCTCTCTAGAGGCAAGGGTGTCAACCATTCTTGGGGCTGTGGTAAAAGAGGAAAACATGAAAAACGTTGAAGTGGACAAAAAACCAGTCTAGCTGGATGACCACGCCATCGAAGAGATACATTATGGTTGGTCCAATATACGGTTTGTGGATGATGGTAGCTTGAACCAACTGTAAATCAAGAATCAGTGGACAGATGTTATCGGCAGTACGAAAGCGATAAGTAGGAAGAAACACAAACTGCTGAGTTACTACCAGACCAATCAACATTGAAAGTGAACTATCGAAAAATGAAGGGTGCTTTTCGTAGGAGAATTTTTACGAAAGGCAATAATTCCCGAACTGACGTCCGAAAGATTTACAGGGAGACGGATGCATCGTGGTTACGGACCGACTGTAAACAAAATTGTGTAACACGGAACTAAACAGGGTGGAAGCCAACACTCACTCCACAGGGATGTCGGGGTTGGGTTCAAACCACGGAAGTTCAGTCAGCAAGTTCGTGTCTTAACCGCTAAGCTACCTCGAACTCAAACGATTGATTAACAAAGGCAGTAGAGGAACCCAGCCATACCGTATTTGCTGTAAAGAGGCCAGCCGCTCTTAATAAATGAACATTACGTCGACTGGACGGGCGTATTACGTGCGGGCTACGGAGTAAGCGAAGCCATAACTTGATTGGTCATAAGGCCAACCAATCTGGATCAAGCATCCATAGCTCGAAGTTTCCTGTCTCGTCACGAAGATTCTAATGCGGCCTTGCGGAATTTTTCTGATGAACTCCCTTCGTCTCTATAAAGGACTGTCTCAAGCTACCATGCCTTTTGATATGACATAGTGGGCGGAGCAAGGAGTCAAGGACTGACATAAAAGTTGCGCCACCGTCAGCAAGAAAAAAAAAAGATTTTGCGCGACTCACTTAACGGTGTTATCGCATTTAGCTCATGCATTTCTAGCCTGGCCATAGAAATCTGCCTTCTACATACACTCATCATCATCAGAGACAGCAATATCAGCGTCCATACTGATGCTTCACAAGCCGCTCAGCTGTAGCACCCTTTCGGTGCCTAGCTACTATGTCACCAGAAGGAAGCGCGAGTGCTGGGATACTGCCAGATTGCCCAAGCCTAGACAGGGGAAGTCGAGAGGCAGAGGTCGGATTCGAACCACGGACCTTCCGGTCAATAGATTCGCGCTCTAACCACTTGGGCCATCTCGCCCATCTCGCTTCACCAAGCTCATCTAATTATATTTAAAGGCTCAGAATGAAGATAAAAACGTGGTTGACGGGGGGACCGATGTTGACCTATTGCAAGAATTCTAAGATGTCTACACTTCCAAGCGCTCAGTCAGACAATCTGGAAGGAAACTGAAAACACGAACGCCATTGACGCCAATCAGCAGCCATTTCGCGCAACGCCTACAGGCAAGCGCACGAGGGTTACATGGACCCCATCCTGGGGGCGTACTGCACAAACAGCACGTACACTCTTTGTAACCTCTTTAATACCCTTCTGTCAAGTAATGCTTCGTCCACTTCGTGGTTTCCGTCATTCTGATGTAGGTACCGCGAGCAGGACCAGTCTCGACAGATGGTACTTCGACATGCGTAGCACACAGCCCAGCCATCGCAGCTGACAATGTGGAGGTTTCCCGCAACCAAAGTACCTGCTACACAACCAAATACCCGCTTTCTAATTATCTTGTCGTGAGTTGGCTAGCGCCATCGGACATCAGCGACACTTCCGAGCGACACCTGAGATCAGAAGACGCTTTACATCGTCTGTCCACAGAGTCCATGTATCGCAACCATACAACAACACAGCCATTACTGTAGCATGGTACACGCGGCCCTTGAGCCCAAAGCGCCAAAAAGCGATACAAATTAGCGCATGTGATCCTGACTTTTGAGAGTCGCGCACTGACTCCACCATATAAATTTCTGTCAAAGCTGATACAACTACAGAGGTATATAAAATTCTCCACAACCTCCGGTGATTCTGCTTAAATTGTAAGGTGTGTATTCAGAGACTGTACGATCTGAAGAATGACTTGCACACACCAAAACACGGTATGGTGGCGGTCAGTTTATTCAACAGACCTTGTGCCACGTCTCCAAAGATGAGCACGATGTCGTCTGCGCACTCTAGATCGACAGTAGCAATTTGAACAGCAAAGTTTTGAAGATCTTCCAGTGACCGCCTCATTATTTCATCAATGACGGAGTTGAACAAGAATGGAAAGAGTGGACATCTCTGTCAGACAGCACTTTTTGTAGGGAAGCCTTTAGAAGGCTCACCATACACTCTCACACGCCCAGAAGTGTGTTAATATAGGGACATCATCATCACATCAGCTACAAGACTCAAGTATCCGCCGTACAGTGGTTCTAGCTGCCACAGTTTCGGTGATCGATAGTTCGGGGAAGCGAGGTAGATAGCTATGCATTGGAATCGGTAGCTGATATAATTCATTCGTAAAAACAGGGCTATCAGTGAACTTTTATGCATTGAAGGCAACAGCTTGGATGCAAGAGCGCTATTGAGGGTGCGACTGGGCCATGTCTAACAATTGATGTGTCCCGTCTCCAAGTCCCCATTTAGAAAGACCAGCGTAACTGAGTTTGATGAGTTCGCTAACACCACCTATGAAGTATGACCAGGTCATCTGTTGTAAGCGAATTACTTGTACCGAATACCATTCGAAGGACTTCGGCATTTCTAATCCGGTGTTCCCATCATACTCGGATAATGCTCCGGGGATATCGATGTTCTAGTACTGGGGTTTTTTAGGAATTCAGCATGCGGCTTCTGGGTTTCTGACCAGTATAATAACAAGGAGCGAACCGCAGCAATGTGAACGATCCCTGACAAGCAAACTGATGTCACGCCTACGTCACAGGTGGTGCGGCTGTACCATGCTACAGTAATGGCTGTGTTGTTGTATGGTTGCGATACATGGACTCTGTGGACAGACGATGTAAAGCGTCTTCTGATCTCAGGTGTCGCTCGGAAGTGTCGCTGATGTCCGATGGCGCTAGCCAACTCACGACAAGATAATTAGAAAGCGGGTATTTGGTTGTGTAGCAGGTACTTTGGTTGCGGGAAACCTCCACATTGTCAGCTGCGATGGCTGGGCTGTGTGCTACGCATGTCGAAGTACCATCTGTCGAGACTGGTCCTGCTCGCGGTACCTACATCAGAATGACGGAAACCACGAAGTGGACGAAGCATTACTTGACAGAAGGGTATTAAAGAGGTTACAAAGAGTGTACGTGCTGTTTGTGCAGTACGCCCCCAGGATGGGGTCCATGTAACCCTCGTGCGCTTGCCTGTAGGCGTTGCGCGAAATGGCTGCTGATTGGCGTCAATGGCGTTCGTGTTTTCAGTTTCCTTCCAGATTGTCTGACTGAGCGCTTGGAAGTGTAGACATCTTAGAATTCTTGCAATAGGTCAACATCGGTCCCCCCGTCAACCACGTTTTTATCTTCATTCTGAGCCTTTAAATATAATTAGATGAGCTTGGTGAAGCGAGATGGGCGAGATGGCCCAAGTGGTTAGAGCGCGAATCTATTGACCGGAAGGTCCGTGGTTCGAATCCGACCTCTGCCTCTCGACTTCCCCTGTCTAGGCTTGGGCAATCTGGCAGTATCCCAGCACTCGCGCTTCCTTCTGGTGACATAGTAGCTAGGCACCGAAAGGGTGCTACAGCTGAACGATTTATTTGGGGTAGATGGCCCAAGTGGTTAGAGCGCGAATTTACTGACTGGAAGGTCCGTGGTTCGAATCCGACCTCCGCCACTCGACTTCCCCTGTCTAGGCTTGGGCAATCTGGCAGTATCCCAGCACTCGCGCTTCCTTCTGGTGACATAGTAGCTAGGCACCGAAAGGGTGCTACAGCTGAACGATTTATTTGGGGTAGATGGCCCAAGTGGTTAGAGCGCGAATTTACTGACTGGAAGGTCCGTGGTTCGAATCCGACCTCCGCCACTCGACTTCCCCTGTCTAGGCTTGGGCAATCTGGCAGTATCCCAGCACTCGCGCTTCCTTCTGGTGACATAGTAGCTAGGCACCGAAAGGGTGCTACAGCTGAACGATTTATTTGGGGTAGATGGCCCAAGTGGTTAGAGCGCGAATTTACTGACTGGAAGGTCCGTGGTTCGAATCCGACCTCCGCCACTCGACTTCCCCTGTCTAGGCTTGGGTAACCTGGCAGTATCCCAGCCCTCGTGCTTCCTTCGGCTAGCATGGCAACTAGGCTGAACGCTTTCTTTCCTTCTTTTCTTTCATGTTCCATAGGACTGACATAAAGCCAGACTGTGTCAAATGCAGCTTTCAAATCAAGGGAGACCATCACTGTTGGTCGATCGGAGAAGTGCCGTTGTTCTAGGAACTGACGGAGGATGAAGATGTGATCGACGCAACCTGCTGTAGGAAAGATCCTAGCTTAGTTCCCACGGACCTGCCTCTCTTTTTCGGTCAACATTCAGAGGATAAGATCAGAGAGTACCCTCGATATCACAGCTGATTCCACTATGGTTTTCACAGTGTTAGTGAAGTCGGTGATGACTATTGATGTGTACCATCCTTCAGACGTTTTCTCTTCACTCTACTTCGTATCAATTATTTTTGCCAGATGGGTCATCATGGATTCCCTGTTCCCTGAAAAGGGATGGATACAGGCCGTCCGGTCCTGAGGCCTTCTCATGTTTCGGCGGCTATTTTGTATTATAGTTCTCTGTAGGACGGGCGATCATAGTTTACATTCCATTCACCCGCGCAAACTGTCTCCAGGGGCTGCATCGCAGGATGACAGGTAAACTGCTCTTCGTACTCAGTCCTCCTTTCCAGTCGGCATTTTTGCGATTGAGACAATGAGTTCCCTTTTCCACTTATCGTTTCCCTGACCGTTGACCTACTACGGCCAGTAAGTAGTACGGTTATTTCCGATAACGAAATCTTTGTTCATCTCCTGGGCTTCAGATTTTCACTGAAGCTCTCGGTCTTTCCTTGAGCTCTACACTAGTTGATGTCTGAGGGATTTCCGTGAGCCGTCGCGCTCGTTGTTTGATGGTATGTGTTTCTTAGCATCAACTAGGACCAGCGACCACAACGATATCCAGCGATCATTTGATCATGCCGGAGAATTCGGACAGAGAGCACTGAACGCCGCTAGCACGACTCTTTTCACATTCTGTCATGTTTCATTGACGTGCTTGCTGCCAGTAAAGTGTTGGTTTACTGTAGAGAGTATAGGTAATTCAGATCAGTATTGCTGAGCTGTGGTAGTTCATCGAATGACATGTTTTTCCTGACCTGCAAGGGCTTGAAATAAAGAGGACTATTAGGTGTGCCTGCACCATGGCGTGATCGGAATCGGGTTGTGTGCCCAAGAAAGAAATGTAGTCTTGAATTGCGGGTCTCCAACGATGGCTAACTGCCACCTGGACCACGGTTGATTTGCATTTGGTGACCATCAGATTAGTGGACGCAAGTTTTTATTGACAGTCCGTACTAGGCAGACATTTGCTGGTTAGCACACCGGGGTGTTGCTCTCCGCTGTCTGAGCGGCGCGCATCGACTCTGAATAGACTTCTCAGATGTGAATTTGAGACGCTCAGACTACCAGCTCTGGAGTGCGGCTTCACCCAACCATGGCAGCTCTAGATCGAGATAGCTCACGAGTTTAGGTGCAAAACTGCTGATTGGAAGCTTCGTGGTTCGAAACCAACCCCAGCGTCCCGACCGCTCCTGTTTACTCTTAAGAAACCTGGCAGTATCTCAGCCTTCGTGCTTACTCCCGGTGACACGGCAGCTGTGCACCGAAAGGATGCTGTACCTTGATGATTAATTAATATTTCAGTCCGACTGACTACCAATGACAATGGTGCCTCCACTGAAGCGGACCGGTGAGCGCGGAACAAAACATATATGAAGATTTATCGTCTCTT